TGAAAACCTGCCATTTAAATCTGTTGAGTAAACAATTATGTCAACTCATGAAGCCACACTCTGCTTTAGGCTCTCCACAAATGAATGTAACTTGTCCTGTCATCTTCAAAGCTGTCCTACGCTAATATTCTCTGGAGGTTCTCAATGGGATAAAAAGTGTAATAGTGGAACTGTCATTCTAAAGGGAAAAATAACATGCGTTTCTTGCTGAACTGAGGCATTGTAGGCCATACAAGTTTTACTGTTTTTGATTTTAAATACTCGGCACTTTGTGCAGATGAAGAAAATAATTGTGTGCAAGATTTCTATGATAAATTGGCAATATTTTTAAGTCTGCAAAGAGTTAAATCGAATGTTTTCGTTCTTTAAATGCTATGGCTTTGGTGGAACGATCATTTTTATCTATGGGACATCTTGCTTGCAAACCCAGATACAGTATGTCTTGCTATTTCTTTCTGATAAATTTGCTCAACAACAAGTTTTTTCAGTACCTAAACTTTTAAACTAGATACATGATGTAGTACAGTATGTAGCAACAATGTAGCAACAACCTTAAGAGTTGATATTTTAGCATACAAGAATATGTTTTTTGTAATATTCTGTGTAATGCAACAGGTGATTGGCTGACATGGTAAGATGCAAATAATTTAGGTAGGAAGTTTTATTTTGTCCATTCAAGACAGTGCAGTGGCTTGCTATTGTGAGGACTACAGTAGGTTTGTCTTATAGAGGCCTCTGTAAAGTATTATAATTATTGATAGAGTTCTACTGTTCTTTGCAAAATGAGGGCTTTTTTTGCCTAAAAAGACCAACAGTGATACAAATAAGAACAGTGAACTAAGACTGCTTTAGCATTGCAGTCAAATGTTTGTAATGGCTAAAAAGTTTGTAATGGCAAAACAAGGTTTGATATCTAGAATTCTGAGATAAATATACTGTAATAATATAAATATAACTAATAATAAACTCTTTGGGTAAAATATTAGGAATATCTTTCAATTCAATTCAATTGATTTTTATATTGTGCCTTTCACAACAAGGTTGCCCCAAGGCGCTTAACAATGCAATATCTCATTCAGTAGTGGCTTCAATAGTAGACAAGCTTTCTTTATAGTTTTCTTAAAGTATGATATGAAGAATTGTCTGGTTATTTTAAAAACAAGTATATAGTCACAATACAGGACTATAACAATTCAGTCCAAGTTTATGACCAAATGGACTAAATGATTAATTGGAGAAATAAAGCGATCACTCTACAGGCTATGTAAAAGAGCCCAAGTTTTGAAGATTTTTTGATGATTGTTAAAGGACTACATAAATCTTTGGGAACAGTTGAAGAAAGAAAGCTAGCAATGAACTATTGAAAGATTAATGATAATATAAAACATTTCTTCAGTACCACAATGATAAAACAATTTAGATCTGCTAGAAAGTATCTTGATGTAATATGAGGCTAATAATACAAGACAGAGTAAGATTGCTTAAAGAATGTTTCATAAAATGAAATTGCAGTTCTCAGCAGTCTGACCCAGGTTATAGAATGAGCTCCATCAGTGTTTTTAGCTAGGTTGAGGTTACGTATGACTTAGGACAGTTAAAAAAAATGGCAAAGTTAAGGTGATGTTTCCTTGTCAGTCGTACATTAGGAGGTTATGGGTATTACAGTATGTATACACCTACAGGTATGGGTTATTTCTCCTCTCACTTAGAATGGGATTGGTAACCACAAACTGGAGAACTATAAATTTCACAGCAATTCATGACAAGAGGAACAAAACTGAGCCACTAAAATACAGACAATTACAGTAAGTCTTACACGTGTTAGTGAAACGGTTAGGGAGGCGATATTAAGAGCTAAAATAGAATTACACATAATAATAGAAAACAATGGAATTTAAAAACGCATGGATTTGAAATATGAAGGTCTTATTTAGTCAACTGAAATTCTTTGAACAAGTAACAATGACACTTCAGTACATTAAAGCATATGTTTGAATGCTTCAATGAGGTCTCATACAAAGTTCTCATATTAAAACTCATAGAAACGGGATCCAACAGAATTTACAGTATTTCATGGATCATAAACTGCTTAAAGAACAGAAAAGTTCATAATCTTATGAAACAATAACCTGCAATTGAGATGTTAGGAATGAGCTGCCACAGAAATCTGTTTTATCCCCAAATTGCAGAAGTTGCACAGCTTTATATCAATGATTTAGATTCTGATATAGTTAACAAACTTTTCAAACTATTCCAAAATGGGGGAGGCTTCAAATATTCTGTAGCTTTGTCAGATACATCTTATGTTCTTACAGTATATGACGATGGTTTCTACTTTCAAAATGGGGAAGTCCATTTATGGTGGCAAGGAAATTAGACAAATGCATGACACTTGGTGAATAAAATTGAATGCTGATAAAT